TGACAAAAGATAATTGAATTAACAAGCAAACTGACAAAAAGGATAGAAATACCTTATGACTCTTTGTTAATCCCTTGATGTCCTCAAGTTTAGACAATATCTCATACTTCTTAAAATAACCAGATTGTCTTAATCCTTTTAAGGACGACACCTTTGAAGATTCTATCTGTTTGCTTTCAACAGCACTAAAATCCTTTTATGGCTCTTCTACATTCTAATCCTCATCTGAGACAGAGACTGAATAATTGATTTTATTTTAGGTTTAATAAAATAGAGGCCTTGAAGACTAGATGGCATCTTTGAATTGAGTTTAATGAAGAGTTGAATCTATTATCATTAGTTCATTGTTTTATATTTTTTAAAAAGCATTTTAATTGGAAGTAATAAAATTCTATTATTCATTAATTGACCCATTAGGATCATCAATGAAAACGTTCTCAGAAACTGAGAAAGCTCCTTAGACCATACTATTATTGGTTTCTGTATAAGTGAATTTAGCAGAATTTTCATATTTCTTAAAGTATTCAAATTTAATTGTATAAAATAAGATCTCCCCATTTAGTACTTTTGGAATTACATCTACAGTAGTTAGATAAGTATTTATTGAATTGGAAGTGACCTCCTCTTTATCAACATTCACTACAAAGTCTATGTTTTCATAAAACCCTGATAGTTCATTTTTCTTAAAAGTAGGCATAAATTTAGTAATTACGTGATTCTTAAAATAGGTCATAGTATTAAGATTCAAAGAGGTCAAGACGCTTTCAGTTGTTGCAGTAACAACCTTATCAGCATTTAAGACCATCACTAGCGGTTGCTCATAGATTGGTTACAGAAAAGTGATAAAATTGATCTCCTCACTTGTAAAACTGACATCGATTGCAAAATCGATTTAATGTAAGGTGCCTTTTGCATTATTATAATAGTAATTAACGTCCAATCTTCTCATATATTTAGATTCTCCATTAATTAAGAACTTTTTAACTAATCTTTAATGTTATTCTTTAATCCCTGGAGGAATAATTAAATTGATATTCTATTATAGTAACTTATTATGACTCATTTTGAATAGGATTGGAGCATTATTAGAAGCTCGTTTGATTAGAATTTCTGTATTGTAAGTGGAGATCAAGTAAACCATTTTATTTGTGAAGACAGAAAAATTTTATTTATCATCTATTTTTGTAAGTTATTACTGAAGTAAATTTGCCTTTGTAAATTCATTCAAAATCTCAGAATAGAGAAAGCATAACACATTCTGAGTCTTTTAATTTGGAAACACAGAGTATTACCTTTCCAATTCCTTTTGGACTTTTGTGACTTACTCAATGAATTATAAGATGCTCTTAAGGGTAATCTTTTCTTATTGAGATATTATTTATTATATCCTACACTTATTTTTCAGTAAATTCACCATCTAAGTCTGGAGAGTTACATTGTAATCTTCCAATTTCATCAAGTGCTCCACTGCTTCGGTTAAACCCTTCTAAGCTTTATTCTAATTTTTTAGTTTTGTGTCCAATTGAGATAGCCATTCCTTGATCATGAGTTCTTTTTTTATTTACGACAACCAACTCAATTTTTTGATGGAATGCAAAACCATCAGTCCTTCATAATACTTTTCTTGATGAGCCAATAATGAAGCATATAATACTATATCTTCCTTATGAGTTGGAAATTTTATCCTTATTTATTTTAATAGCTTGAGATCATAAAAATTAGCTATTAAATCTTCCAAGGTTTTTGGCGCTTACTTCAGTAATCTCTCTAAATTCATATATACTATCTTCTGCATAAACAAAAATATGATAAAATCGCTTATATAATTATGAAATCCTACCATCAGTTGAACTAAACCCAAATAAATAGTCATGATTTAGATGTTCAACAGAAGTGTAATTAGGATAGAATTACCCTTGGGAAATTGCAACAACAATTGCACCAAAGTTATAAAAGCATTAAGGATTGCCACCAATTAAATGACAAATAAATCGGATTGATATCTGAACAAGTACATCAAAGTAATATTTCCTATGGCCACTATGTAGCTCAATATTGATTTGGTGGGATTAAAGATGCTACTTGAATCGAAGTTCAATGTACCTTGTGCGAATATCTATTCGAATATATATATGGAAATCAATAGCAATTGAACCAAATAATCCAAAGAACCTCTTGATATTTCAAAAAAGAAATTAAGTAAGCCCAAATTTATTAGCTAACCAAAAATATTAATCGCTCTTGAAAATGGGTTTTACATTTATGACGATATTAGGTATATAAAGCATAGAGCTAAAATTACATATTGAATATTATCCAATGATAATGCAATTTAGGGTCTTGCAATTATGCAAAATAAATATGTGTATGAGTACATCTAATTTTAAAATATATAAGAAAAGTTCCTGAGCGACGCTATGATCTTTATTGTTTGGATCAAATAATTATTCATCCTCATTGAATGATAAACAAAGTCTAAGTAATTTTATAGGAATTTATTTCTAATTTATAGCAAAGTATTCTTCTGGTTTGTGTCTTCCATTATTGATTGAAATATAAATTAATAATGAAAAAAACTTGAAAATCATAATGATTATGAAATTTAAACTAAATTCATATTAAATAATAATATGGGTAATCGTCAGTTTCGATAATTTTTTGAAAATCTCTTTTCTCATATGTTTTAATTAACTCTATACACAAACTTCTTTAATTTACATAAAATTTTAATCCTTGTTTTTAAAATGCACTCTAAACTGAGTCATCTAAATAAAAATGCAATACTTTTAGAATGTTTGAATGCCAGTCTATCAATTGGGCAAAGTAATCTTACTATGGTGAAAGGCGATTGTAAATATTTCTAAATTTAAGAAGATCGATTCAGATAATTACTTATTCTTAATAAAAAATATTATATTTTATATTATATTATATGTCTATTTTTGTTAATTACTGAATTTTAAGTTTTCCTATTGATCATTTTTTCATTAAAAATTATAGTTCAATTCGTTTTCAATTAAGTGTTTTATCATGTTCCTGTAATGAAGTATAAAGTAACTTAATAAAGTTGGCAAGCTATTTCAACAAAATTTTCACTTGTATTTTTTTATAAATTTGTTGTTATATACAATAATTGACTTATTCTTTCGGAACTGAGGAAGAAATAAATTAAAAAGTTACATAAAAATCATGATGCAATTTTGGTAATTTATATGGAAATGTAATTTATTAATTCATTTGATATCTGATATTGATTAAATTTCCCCATTCATTTATATGCAATCACTTGAATTAGGTATGATTATTTGAGCATTAATATATTTTTTCTAATATAGTGATAATTAAATTATTATGCATCAAAGGATGAAAAGCGATATCAGATTTGATTAACTTAAACTTGATTACTTATAAGGGAACAGTTCCAAAATACTAAAATCAGAGTAAGACTCGACCTAACCTTCATAAACTTAAATTTTTTAAGGAAACCTTCTTGAAAATAAAACAGACAGACAATTATCCCCTCTTATAAATAGCAATCGACAAAGGCATAAGTTAAAACAATGCCAGTCTCTCGCTCTTGAAAATGACCCTGATCTTGAAGAGTTTTCCATTTGGGGAGATTTAGAAGAATTGCCAGTCGGAAATGCTCAAAGCAACCATTTAATTTCCTTTTTGGAATTATACAAGTATCGATACGAAAAAACAACCAAGAAACCAGTTTCTTGTTACAATGTAATTCTGATGACCAAAAAGTAAAATTCATGTTTATAAAGATCAGATTGATAAACCGACATTCAAAAGCTAGGTTAAAATACTACGGGATAAACAAAATATAATGGATAGATTTTAGGGACTGGAGTAGATCAGGCAATCTTAATTCTTTGTGATATTTTAATTTGTTTTAGATTTTGCTCTTAAATTTGATAATTAATATAAATTTAATGGGTAACATGTGCGAATATCATGCAAGAAATGTATCAAACATTTCTATTTAAAAAGATTAATAACGAATAATATCTGTAGCCTAAGTTGTTAGCATAACATAGATTCCAAAATATCGGAATTTACTTGGATGCAGGAGACATAAAAAACGAAGAAGTAGATGTAATTGTTGCTTAGACCGATTTAAATCTAAAGGTACTCCTAGCATTCTAAATATAGCTCCCATATTACTTGATAAACAACGTATCGCCCTAAACGAAATAATAGTTATTAAAATACATTCAATAGATTAGAGATAAATAGGCAGTGTCTCATGGCGATGTCGTCCATTCTCATGCAGCTGAAGTATCAAACTTGACTAATTATTATTAGTTGGAATTTGATTTCGTATTTTATTGCGTATTACCAAATGAAGATGACGAACCAATGAAATTGGCTAGAAATCACAATCCTAAAAATCTAAACTTGAAATTACCAAAAAATGCTCATTAAAAATATTAGAAATAATTTATTTATGATTGCATGATGACTTGTCTTAAAGTAGCAGAAGAAATGGAAATTACGTCAATATGTTTTCCTGTGATGAAATCAACCAAGTTTACAATATCCACAATTGCAACAATGCAGATGATTGCTGTAAAGAATTTTTTGGAAGAAAATGTCACAAAAATAAAATTTCTGAGTTAGGTTAGATTTTGTATACAGGATGATAAAGATTAGGAGTTATTCAAATGGGCATTTGATAAGGTGTTTATGGACACAGATGATAACAGTGAGGCGAGTGACGAAGATTCACTTAATAACAATAGTGGTAATAGTGGAAGTGGAAGTGCAGGTAATTCTTTGAGTAAAAATGTAATTATACAATTTATTAATTTTAAGACATTATATGAATTGTAACCAACTGTAAAAAAGCCTTAACAGAAGAATTTTGAAGAGGATGAGTTTGTTAAGAGCTTTGGTGCTAATTATTATGATAAATTTGAGAGTCCATAGAGTGTGGGTAGAAAAATATCGATTTGATAACATATTAATACTTTTATTTATAAATTATTGTTATATATGGAATTGAAAATTGATGAGAGGAGTGATGTCATTAGATAAGAGGAATTCAAAGACATTGATGTTTCGAATTGGAATGAATTTGGAGGTATGACCATATTCCCACTACTTTCTAAGCTATTTTGCTATTGAGTGCAGGGGCTAATTTTTTATTGATCAAGATCTTTTAGAGAATACAAAATTTATTTTTGTGGAAAAGTGAGGATCCAAAAAACAATCCTTCTAAAATGTTAACTGTAAATTGCTTATTGGTTATGACAATATTATGTAAGAATTAGAATTATACAAAAGTTAAGCTCTTTTCGTGTTATTACTCAATAGCAGGTTTTTTTTTTAGTTAAATTTGGAGATGGGATTGCGAGTCTTAAATAACATCATTAACGATATCCCCATCATTTTACATAATTATCCAAATTTGTTAAGCATAAACTTTGAACCTTACATTTTGTTTTTGCAGTAATTTATGGCTTAAACTATGGAGAATGAAATTGAGAATAGAACAGAATAAGTCTCTTTTAAGTCTAACTAACATTCTATAAATATTTCTCTCTGCATTAATAGTCATCATTCCTATACTTACTATCACTTCTTTGATTTTGGAATCCTATGTTAATAACATAAGAGAATATTGTTTGGGTGCTTTAACAATGTTGAGTACTGTTTCTTTTGCTTTCATTTGTATTATTCTCTACTCAAAACTCAAGGATTAATATAGTGTTGGTGATCATTACAGAACAGTATGAATTTAATTAATAATTTAGAATCTAAAGTTTTTATCGGCAGCAGTAATAATTTGCACTCTTCTTCGACCGTCATTTAACTTTTTATTCTCCCAGGAATTCTTTTGGAGGTTGAAACCAGGACTTGAATGCGAAGCAGACGATGGAACTATTATCTAAAGATTACCTGATTTAGGTTTTAATTGGTATGATATATTAATATACGAATAAATAGGGCGATTTTTTAATTAATGTATTCATGTATTACGGATTTCATTCCTATTTACATTTTATCCTTGTTGTTTTCTCCCAATATAACAAAAAGGAAGACTCTGGTGAATGTAAGCGATGGGTGGGATACTGGGTTAGAATGATTTATTTAACAAACTTTTTTTAATAAAATGTAAATTTATAATAACCTAAAACAACAATTCTAGGAAACCAAAAGAGGATTCTCTTTATCGCCTGAACAAGGATTGTGCCTAACTTAAAACAAACCTCCTTTGGTTGAATCAAGATCCATGTGGAACAAAAATGTCTATTTGGTACCCAAATGGGAGAAGAGAGATATTAAACATGTTGAAAGTAATAATCATACCCCATTTCCCATTCGCAATTACATTAATTATGTATAATAGCATAGTGAAGGATTCTCCAATTCACTCAATCTTGATTTCCTCAAACATTTGATCAGACATTTCACTGTTAATTAATGGTGGATAGACTAAACCAAAAAATTCAAGAGAACCATCCCAATCAACATATTACAAATGTCCTCAAAGAATTAAGTGGAATAGTCAAATTTGTAATTGTTGATACAAAAGTCATTTGATGATCTCAACTTTTACAATAAAATCCTGTCCTCTACCAAATTGCCTCCTATACCCCTTCCCCAGAATTAATTGCATGAATATAAGTCATCAGTTACATATTAAGTTCTGGATTTGACTGCCTCTGAGAAATACAAGGATTACTCCTTATTCCAATTGCAAGACCTCTTCATTAAAAGAATAATGTAACTACTGTCGGAGCGAGGACTCCAAAGTCTTGGGTATTACGATTACTTCACCTTCTAGAAGATTGTGGAAGATTAAAAAAAGGGAATTTGTGATGCAGAGACGTTCATGAAAGTTTTAGAAATAAAGCGACTATTCAATCAAATAGACCTTATTTCCCAACAAAATGAATACATCACAAATCAATGGGAATCAGAAGATTAAAAGAATTAGATAGAAAATCCTAAGAAATTTAGAAGGTGGAATTAGGAAATTACTTTGCTTTCTGATGAAATCCTAGGTCTAGCCAATTATGTTGGTTTAGATGCCAATTTAAAACGAGCCAGAAAAAATTATGAATTACACAAAACTGAACATTAATTCAATGAACTCATCATAATTGGAGACTAAATATCAGCCACTGCTCAGAAGATCATTCTAGACACTTAATCTAAGTTATCAAAATTTGAGTATGAAGTTGTTGAAACAGTGGACCAGATTTAGAAGGATCCTATAGATTATAATATCAAGATAGCCCCAATCCAATAACAATAAGAAATATATTAATTGTAGGATAAAAAGATTGAATATTTTAATACGGAATCATCAAGGAATTTCCATAATGTTTAAATTGAGAGGTTCCATACACAAAGATAAAAGCCACAAGAAGATTTAATATAAAATAATATCTAAAAATAAACCAAATCTTTTCATTCTCCTTAACAATTATCCACAGATAGAACCTAATTCTCAAATCAAAAATAGACAAGCAAATCAAAAATTAGCTTCAATACTCCCCCATAAAAAAGATCTATTTTAATTTCAGAAAATGCCCTTAAACCACAGAATCCGTTAAAGAGTTAATAACAACAATATCGGAAATTTCATTATAGTAGCAACGAAAGAAAACAAAAGATCACAAGATTGGATGAACATAATGAGCATAGTTTAAAGTAGAATAGAAATCTATAATCACAAAGATCCTAACAATCACTAAGATCGTATGAAGAATTTATTAGACCGACTGAGAATATTTCCTCAACTAATTTACCTCCTGCTTAATTGCATAATTTTCACACTACAAGTGAAATTAATTAAAATCTAAGTAGTCATTAAAATAAATAATCACAAATAATTACCAGTTACAACAGCATCAGTCTTCATCAAAATAGAAAAAATGCTCACAAAACCAATGACCTTCGTGTGATGAAGGATTATATTAAAAAGAACAAGAAGTATCAAACTGAACTAGAAGATAAACTAGTTTATAATAATAAAAATATAGGGGAAGATGATTTTGACGAATCAAAGCCTAACCCTAATTTCAATCAAGTTAATGAATCATATGATTTAAGTGATGACTTGGATCTCCTCCCCTCCATTACCTAAAGAGATGTGAAACCCTATGATCCATAGATTTAAGAGAATGAAATTTATAATTCAATACCTGAGTCCACTTCAAATAATACAACTGCGAGAACATTAAGAAACACCAGTAATTATAATTCTGTTCATCCTAAAAAACAGAAATAGGAGCATCAACCAGACCAACCAAAAAATGATAAGCATGAGCAACTGTAGACTATAAATGAAATTTCAAGGAAGATTTCTCCTGTCTTGATTAGATAATCTTCAATAAAAAATGACCCAAAGAATACTGAAAATTAATCACACTCAAAACCATCCAAAGATTTATAAGGGGAAAAGCCATCAAATTAAATACATTCTTAACCACCAGAAATATTTATACATTAAGAACCTAAGCATGATGAAATGAACAATAACAATTATTCTTAAAACTCTATTGATTTACCCTCATAAAGGGCGAGAAACCCTAATGGAATTAATGAAAAATCTAAAAATTTTCTTAAATCTTCAATTCATTTTTCTGATAAGTAGTAGATTTAAAAGGATCATTTGAAGGTTGAAATTACAAACAGGTCATAGGAACATCAATAAGAAAATAAAAGAAGCAAAAATAAATTTGTTAAATAAGAAGTTATAGATGATCCATTGGAGGATGAATCGGAAGAAGATTCTGAGGATGATGAAATTGAAGTTGAATAGGTTAGCAATGTTACTGGCTAGTAATTGAAAAGGAAGAAGAAAGCAAAGGTGTAATCATTATCGACTTCTAAATTAGAAAGAATGGAAGATCACAAGAGATATTTGAAATTTTTGAAAGAAGAACTCAAAGAGATGTTGGATAAAAAAGTAAATTTAAAAGAAATTAAAGAACATATTAACATAATCCTTAGTGAAATAGGGAGCTTAAGTTTGGATCAAGAGTTAGATTATTACATTCAATTATGTATATCTTGAATTTATTTAGATAAATCTAGAGCTTAGGAATTGAATTAAGTAAATCAAGAATCTCATGAGATTCGATTTTAAAATTAACAACCAGTTGTTGAGTTGAGATTAAAAAGGGAAATCAAAGGATTGAAGTTTGCCAAGGATTGTGATAGAATAACAAAGTTGAAACCGACTGATCTTGAAGATATGGATGACACTTAGAAGTACTAATTTTTGTTAATAATCTTTAGTTTGATAAAAATAGAAGAAGAATTCAATGATTAGGATTTTACGACAAATTAATATGCACCTTAATATCGCTATGAATCTAGACCTTCTCCACTATAAACTAATATTATCTAAGTCTCATTGGATGTGACAAGAAGCTAAACACCTAATTAAAAAAGAATGTACAGAACAAATCCGAGATTTGAATCTGACCTTACTACTAATAATTAAAAAAAGAAAACAGCAATTAGAAATACTAAGAAGTAAAAATAGTCAAAGCATATACAACAACATATAGCATTTAAGAAAGAACCTCTTAATCATAATTTTCCTTACCTGAATAAATACAAACCGGAGTTATTGAAGAGTGTCCTTGAGGCGCGTATTAGTTTAGAATAATTGATTTGATTTATTATTAAGGTATTTCTAATAAATTTTTAATTTAACTAAGATGAATATTCTTACAACAATGCTAAACGTTTATATTTTTAATATAACTTATAAATTTAGCCTAATAAATTTAATTATCATCATATCTTGAATATCAACCCTTCTTATAAAGTTGAAAAATGAAAAATATCCTAGGGTAAATAAAGGATAATTTTAGAAAAAGGAAGTAATTAAAAATGAATTAAGTAAATAATGAAATTATGTTTAAAATTCTTGGTTATCCATAATATTTAATTCCTGATAAATTCATGCTTATGAACCATATGAAATTAGCTTTAAATTAAGAATAGGAAATTTATAACCAAATATATTATAGTTCAAATTTCAAATATATAAAATAATCAGCAATCCTAAACTAAAGGTTAATGAATATTAGAATGTTCGACAGATTCATGAAATGATTGTTCAGCATTTATGATCCTATTCAAATTCGACTCACACCCTGAATATGCAGCCTCTAATTATTGTATATCCATTAGTTAAGCTAATACCTAAATTGAATATGTTACCTTATAGTGAGATGGCATTCTTAAAATCTTCAGAATTTTAACAGAATAATAATTTATAGCTTAATTCTTCTATGAAAACAATTAAGACTAATTAGTATGCACATTTATTGGCAGATATTTTTTTAATTATTAAATTCCATATATTACACAAGGGCATTGATTGCACTAAACTGGTGTAAAAAGATGAAAGGATTTCGAAAAAAACATTTTCAACTGCAATGTCATAGTTTTTACAATGTTATACAATTTCTTTATGCAAAACTTCCATGTATTACATAACAATTTCTTGTGGGCAAAAGAGAGTGTCTTCCTTGACTAAGGGAAAATGAACGCTTCTCATCAATTCAACGAATCCAGTAAAAAGCCAGAAGGCCTACGCTTCTGAATCGTATTTGTTACCAAAAACAGGTTTACTTAAATCATACAAGAAGTGAGGATGAGCGATGCATATGAACTTGTTTGCAATTTGAAAAAGTATAGTCAAAAAGGAGACATTCAATTAAATGGTTCTTACATTGCAATAGATTAAGAAGGAAGTCAAGACTCCTTAACATTGTTTGTGTTGATTTTCTTAGACTACAGGCAATTTAGTAATAAAGTCATCGACATCCTTGAGTAAAGGCAATCTTAAATTAGGAATAGATTTTATTTGAAAGTAGATCTATACATTATCTGAGGCATCAGTAAATTCTAAGTAATTTCGTTTGAGTATTTCAGTAACAGGCCTAACCACCTTTTCAAAGCAATTCAATTAAGTAAACCAACTTGCTGGTTAACACTAAGGTTATAGACATATATTCTCTATATACAATCTCTAATATAAATTTTAGATGTCATCAGAGTATCTATCGATTTCTAATCCAAATTTTACTGTTTCTATAATTGGCAGCTAAAGGTATTTAAATGAATTGTACAGGAGTTCTTTATTCGATCATCTTTATGCCAACCTTCCTTAAAACAGCATTCAATTAAATATATTTTAATCTATCCAGAAATATAGGGTCGATGTTGGAATGTTCAAGCAAGTCCATTTCCACAAATATCTTAGATTACTCATATTCGAGAGCTATCCAAAATGAACGACCTTCATATAAATATTTAATCAGATCTTAGAATTGAATCCTCAAAACCTTTGATGAAGTATTGGTTCCTTAAATATGTTATTTAATTACTGATTGTATCAATAATTTAAAAATCGATATAATCTTAAAAGCCCAAATTCTCAACTGTCATGAAGGTCCTCCCTTACAATCCAAGTAAACCATCTTTAAAACCCCAAGCAGTGTAGTCCCTTCTTCTTTATTGATTCATTTGTGCAAGCAATCGACAAGTGAAGTACGGACTCTATTAAATATTATATTGCAGTCCATCTAATATTTTAATACATTCTATATCCTTAGTTTCTTCTGTTCTCTAAAATGAATTTAGAAATATACTTCAGATACGAATCTCAATTCCAATAACGGTCTTATTAATTAAATGTTGTTTTGAATGTACATTCGAATAATTCTAATTGAGAATTTCTTCGGATTTGTATGATAGATGAAATTAGATCTTTGTTGCCAACCTAAAAAGAACTTTTGTATCACTGAATTCTTAGGTTGAACATGATTTTAGATCAAATTCCCCAACATTTGAATTCTCATCTTCTCCTTTCTTAATCTTTCCTATTCTATTTGTTCTTAATCTTATTGGGATTGCTGCTGTTACTATTACAAACTCAATTATTTTTGTTAATCCAAATAATCCTATTCATCCTTTAACAGTTTCTGGCTCTTCTTCAACCATGTTTTAATATGAAAACCAATCAGTTTCCTTTCTTATTGGATAAGGTAGTTAGCATCTACTTGAGCCTTCCTTTTTTTTTGTCTGTTGGTTTCTATTGCAAATTGCTCCAATTATTAAGCGAACTTCAATGCCCATATGAAGGTGAATTTATCTTCGTATTCTTGATAGCAATATCCAAAGCACTTGGCCAACTACTTTGATTTTAGCTGTAGAAGCTTTTAGATTATCAAATGTCTCTACCATTTAAGTGCTTGATTCTCATCCTTCATATAGATTAAGACTCTTGTATGATCCTTCTCAAATTCAATTGACAGTCTAGCCGTGTCTCCTTTCTTCTCCTGCCAATTATTTGAGTGATTAGCTTTGTTTTCCACTTCTATTGATTTATAAATTGGAAATTGTTTGACAGGCTTATGATCCTTCATTTGAAAGAGAACATGCTTGTCAAATTTGACTTGTCGTTCTAAACTACTTCCCATAACTCTGCTCGTTTTGTACATTTTCAATTCTTATTTGCATTCCTCTGCATTCAAACAGAGTTCGGTTGTCAGATTCTCTATAAGTGATTCTTATAAGATTTACGAATCCTCTTATAACTGTTTCCTAAATGAGGCGTTGAGTAGACTCTGGTATTCGTGCTATGAATTTAATAGCCAGCCTGCTTGGATTTTCTCCTGTTTATTAATTTAAGACACTTTTTACATTTTATTAATAATATTTATATTATACAAAAATTGGCAAAAGACTCAAATCAAAATACCAGATATTATTTATTTTAATGAAAATTTTATTGTTTATTAATCAGAGTAACTATTTTGAAGAAATTTTAATATAAATCTTGTTTACACTTGAAGCAGCAGGAATTAGCCTATATTTAGATCCACTTTATTCAATTATATATAATTGCATTTTCATTATGGCCTTCATTGTGTTAGCATTCTATTACCCAAAGGCAACATTATTTCGATTTTGGTATCATCACCATTTTAAGATTGCTTTACCAATTTTGATTCAAAATCAACAGCTGGATGTTACGAGCTTATTTAATGTGCTCCTTATCATATTGCTTACTATTGTACTTTTATCCTATACCGAAAAAATTGGAGAAATTCAAATCTATACGGCTATCAAAATATTTAATTATACTTTTATCTTAATTGCATTTTCAATACATCACCTGAGCCAATTCGTATTCCTCATATGCTTGCTAGTCTATGACGGCCTTATAATCCTGTAAGTTTTTGGATTATCAATTGTCACAAATTAAGAATTTATCAAATTTTAAACCCTAACCTTAATATCAATGACTCGTTTTATTGTATTTTTGATGCTCTCTTTCATTCAAGTCAAAGACCTATTGCTAGTGCTCCCCCTTCTCTTATATTTATCGATTGTCATTTTGAACAAGTACATCCACCATAGAATCTAATTGGTCTTGCAAGAGTAGCCATTCAAATTGAGTTCAATGATCCTATTGCAATTCACATATCAATTAGGATTGTACATAGGATTGCTGTACATATCTCAAATACTTGTAAGTCATTCCAAGGATTGTAATCGTCCAGAGTGCTTTTGCAACAAGGAAATATCAATTAATCAAGAGGAAACGTGGAAGAGTCCAAAAACTATGTTAAGATAAAGTCTTAATGAGATTCTGTGTGAAATCGTGAGATTGTATAAGTTCTCGAAGATGGACGATTCAGAGGAATATGTAATTATAAAATTAACTCACAAAGCTTCTCTTGTTAAGCAGAATCGAAATCGAATACCGAAATGATAAACTCTTTGAAACCTTGATCAGAAGTTCCAAACTGAGCAAAACTACTTTCTTTGGCTACACGATATTTCCGTATTAATTTCGAATTCAAGGTCATCGAGATATGTTTTATCATAAATTGTAGTCTAAAATAGAAGGGGTTAGACTCAATAGTTATATTTATTACACATATTGCAATTTAGTTGAATAGGTAGGACAATTGATTGTGAAACTATTGAATCAAAGACAACAGATCTTAACAATGTTCACAATTCAATACCAAAATCCACTCTATTATTTGTACCATAATCGATTGTTTCAGTATATCAGTTAATACGAAAAGTGCGAATCTTAATTACAACAAATTCTAAAACTAAATCCGCAATCTTGTGTTACATAGAATTTAGTAGAGGCTCTATATTCGATGGTGACATTTCAAGAAGAAAAACTAAAGTAAATAGAAGTAAATCATAATTTGATGACTATTTAAATTGATTCTCTTTGGTCAACTCTCAATGATCGACAATGTTGCTATGTGCAATGCAAGTATGATAAAGGACTGGTTATGATCAATCACTCAGTGCTTTTCACTTAATTAATGGAAGGTAAACATGTTAAATAATCAAGAAAATGGCATTAAGTCTGACTTCGTGGGACAGTATATTGATAAATTGATATCAAGTCCATTCAAGGAGGCTCATCATATATTTATATAGAGATTAATACATGAGGGCAAACCAAGGTTGTTAAACAACGGAATTTAATAATTTTTCATAAATACAAACAAGGGATACTTGAGATAAATAGATAGTTTAGTCAGACTTGGTTAAAGTATGGAATATTTAACCTTTATGACCATTATGGGATATAAATAAGAGGAGACATGTGGGAAGGTTCTATTGAGCAGTCTTGGCAACATATATTCTTATTCGGAATTGGCTGTGTAGCAATTGCATCTTGATAAAATATTAAAATTACATAATAAAGTGCATATCAATTTGAAATTGTGCATACCAAAGTGTTCAAACTTGAATGAATTGAATGATGGATTCATTTTGATTCCAAAGATTAATTTAGTCAAATAGGATTAAGTATCAAAATCAATATCAACAAGTAAACTTGATTAAGTAGCATTTTATAAGTATTTTCTAAAATGTCCAAAAAAATGTTATGTGTTCTTTTCAATCTACAAATTCAGTAGTTCCACATATGATGATGGTAATTTGCAATTTGAAACGCTCTTCATTTATTAATCCACTGAAATCAAGGACCTGGAATTAAAAATGATAGCCCTTGAATTAATGTTAAAGTAAGTTATGTTAAACAATCAAATCTAATAAGAAAACTATTTTACTAGTTACACTTCCTTTAAATCCATCATTCCTGATATCAAATAAAATGTACAGGCTCCTCATAGTCATAAGAGTAATTCATAAGAGATTGAGATCGATGATCGAGATTTCATTATCAGTAATGAGAGCATTCACATCTAATAAGAACCACAGAATGTTTAACTCTACCAATTTATGGGTTTAGAATAAAATGAAGTACTGATAGAATAGAAGAATAACTAAGTTAATCATTCATCCATAATTGCCAATTCCTTCCAAACCCAAGATTACTTGCTTTCAAGTAGGAGATTGAACGATCTCAGTGCTAGAGATTCTAAAAGAGAAAGCTAACTCTTAATTCATTAAAATCTGGCTAATATCCAGACCTTGTCACATCAAGAGAAAATAGTTTAAGGGGACGATGATGAAATAGAGATAGACTCTCCAGAAGAAATGAAGGTTTAAGTGCAAATGGAAATTTCAATTAAAGATCTAACTGAATCGTACTTGAAAGAATAAACTGATTGGATTAGGTCTATGTTGAGGTTAAAAAAAGGCTAAATAGAAAAGAACTAGAAATAGAAACTTACTACTTATAAAAAGGCCTCGTTTAATAAATTACATTTGGAATAGCAACCATCATCAATAAGAAGCACAGATTCACAGAAAGGATTGATTAATCATGTTGTCAATGGGATGATTCAATCTAATCCTCATTAATTTTACAGCATACTAGTCATTGCTATATTGTACATAGTCCTGCTTCTTGTTCTAATCGTTTTGAGTATAACTGACTTATAGAATGAATTACATCATATCTATTTAGATTCCAGTGCTGGGCAATTCTCAATAACATTGCTATAAGACATCAATTTGATTGAAATTGCAATTCATTTACTTGCAATCAATTCAACATTTGGTGCACCATAATTTTACATCGAAAACTCAACTGATGATTATATCAATTATGTTCAAACTGTCAATAATCGTTAATATATAAATCCAGAATTCCTGTAAAGATTAGAAAATACCCCTATTAAAATCAATCATACATTTTCTAATTTTGGAGTTTACGAATATATCACTTTTAATACAAGACGCTATCTGGTAGATTCATTGCCTTTATTATTCCATCGAATAACTGAAGTAGTTGAATTTGAGCAATCCAATTTTAATATAATGCACATGGAAGAAAGTTATTTCACATTAAATTACCCTATCTACTTTAATTTGGCCTCAAATCTAATTAACTCCACTGATCATGAAATGAATGATACCAAAAATGCAGCCTTAGATATAGCCTTGATTTATGTTATCACAGGAGTATTATCTTGTCTTTTAATTGTAATCTTAATAGGCTTAGCAGAAATTTCAATTGCTAAATGGAGGGTTTCCATTGTCAGAACATATTTCCTATTCCAAAATTTGTAATAATCTCTAGTCTAATAAGAAAATGAGACGCATAATCTATTAACAATTGATGAATTACAACACATGAAATACAATGTAATCAAATTAGAGAAGTAGGCTCAGTAAATCTTAAAAAATGAATAGAGAATATTTGATACAAAATTGAAGTAATCTTTTTGGGCTAAACAATTGATTTCCATTATTCTTTTGGGAGCTTTAGAATTGCTATACTTCATTCCTTATTATCAAATATTTTCCAATTCGGTTGATCAATTAATAGCATTTCACGAGGATCTCTATAAGTTAGGACTTACGTAGCTTTCATTTAGCAATAGACTGGTGCACTTCATTCAACAATATGCTAATCCATAGAATAACATTGATTCTACAATATTTAATGAATTTGATGTGTGGTTTTAAACTTATCAAGATCAATTTCTATTTGAACTCCCTTTTGATGAAACACATGATTCATCATCATTAACATATATGGTGAATAATAATATCTGCGAAATGGATGAAATCGCTCCCATGAATAAACTCGGATATAAGTGTCCTTACAGTATACAAGAGGGTTATTCAAAGTTTGTTGTTTCCACTCAAAATTAATTAAATATAATGCAATCAGAATATTCTAATTTCTCTTTGGGAATTCTATAAATAATGCAAGATATTGATTTTTTAGATATCATAATAGCTTATGGTTTTGTGTTCCCATAATTCAATAAAAACAGAGACTATTTATTTAAAATTTAAAAACAAAATAACGAGCAATCCAATACGTAAGCAATATTAATGGCTATTTTTGTTTTGATAGCATTGCTAATCCTTTTTTCAGTGATCATTTTTATAATTTCTAAGTAATTTCTAGCAGTAATCAAAACTGTTAAATAAACTCTCTTGATTTTCTCAAAGGAATAAATTGCCAGAAATAAACATCTAGTTTAAATTTTGAGTAAAGAAGTAACCTTTGACTGAATTATTTGGATTGAAATGGATATTTTTACTTCATTCATATTAATATTATAATTTGTAATTCTACATTATAAAAACCAATCTATTTTCATGTATCTCTTTAACATCAAATGAAAGATCTGAATGTAAATCTAAAAATTATGATTTCTTGGATATTTAAAGGTTTTATCTCTGATTATAAATTATTCTTTAAAATATTATTTTTATTTATTCCACCTAATAATATGCAACATAGAACTGAAGACTATGATTTACTTTACAAACTAGTTTTAATAGGTACTACTCAATTCTATTCCAAGGGGATTCCGGCGTTGGGAAAACCAACATTCTCAATTAATTTACAAGAGGCGAATTCTTACAAGATTCCAAAACCACTATAGGAGTATTCTCTTCACTTTACCATCAATTTAGGTTGAGTTCGCATCCAAGAATGTCATGCTTGATGACAAAACCATAAAAGCATAAATTTGGGATACAGCCGGCCAAGAGAGATACAGAGCTATAACATCAGCTTATTATAGAGGAGCAGTCGGAGCGATGATTATTTACGATATCACTAAGTCATTAACTTTCGAAAATGTTGATAAATGGATGAAAGTAAATATAGGAGCGATTAAATAAGGAATTGAAAGAAAATGCAGACCCTTCATTATAAATTATGATTGTTGGCAATAAAACCGATCAAAAGCATATCCGATAGGTTGCTACTGATTGCGCTATTGCCTATGCTTAACGCAATGGAGTGGCATTCATTGAGACAAGTGCAAAGGATGGAACAAATGTAGAAGATGCCTTCAAAAATATTTTACAATGTAATAATAAAGTATAATACGAAAGAAATTTATAAATCGGCTAAGGTTGTTAAACCAACTCCATAACCTACTAAGTTTGTTGTTGCAGATACCGATGTGGTTAAACCAGAAAAGTCTTCAGGTTGCTGTTGATTTTGAAAAATTATTTTTTATTTGTTATTTACAATCAAAATATCATTTAATGTTATATTGGGAAGTCACAAACTACATGATTTCTTATTAAACTAACTCATTGGAATCATTCAGTTTTTATAAATATTTTGCCACATAAGGTTTCAGCTCTGGGATAATTGCTATCGTTTTTTTTGTTTGCTAATTGGCATTCACAAGTATTTAAATAAACATTTCTAAATGCAACTCATTATATTCCGTTTAAAGGGATTTCAATAAATTCTTTTATATGACTTGCACCTTTTGATTTTTGGGATCATGCAATTGATGATATTGCAAAATTTACAATTATAGTGGTAATTCCTCATCATCTTTCATTTTAATTGCATTGATGTATTAAAAAATTTAAGGGTTCTGTAATTAGAGGGAATTAATGGCATATAATATACCAAATGAATTTTCAGCCTTTATATCCTTAAATTTCGTCTTTACACTTATTAAAAACTTTTCCAATATCTCTTTGTCAATCTTATTCATTTAAGTTAAAATAGACAAAATAATTGAAATATCAGACACTGTACATAATTTTGGATTGATTTTTTAAGTAAGTTTTTGCAGAAACTTCTCAGAATAATCTGTATCTACAACCGACAGTATCGAATAAATCTTAGAGTAATATTTGCTATCTATAAGATTTAAGTTTTAATATAAGTATCTATATTGATATAATTGTTTTATTACTAAATTAGGTGGTTTCCCACTTGATTGGTCAATTTTTTTATGTGAACTAGAAATTCCAATAGACCTATTATTTCTATGATTGTAACTTCATTTAAATTCCTTTCAAAAATGTTATTAATAACTAAGTCCCAACTGATTTAGATTAGAACATCTGAATTCTCCTAAAGAGTCTGCATATAGTTATATAATTCGTAAAAGTTAAGCTTAGATAGGTTTTAATCTAAATCGTTCTAGCATAGTTTGTAAACTAATAACATCAGTTAAATAGATTTTTCATCACAACTTTAAAGCTAAATTTATATCAATTTAATTACATATTTTTTCAATTTAGCGTTAATAATCAATATGATTAATTTACTAGAAAGCGAAAACTGTTATGCTTAAACAGCAATAGCTTCAAAGTATTGAGCAAACTCTTTCATAATTTTAGTCTCCGATTCAATTAATTTTTTATCATCTTTCACCTTTTATGCATTTTATAATTCAACCAATTGAATAAAGATTTTCCATATTTGTTCTTCTAGTGTTTATGGCATTTAAACCAAAAGTTTTGATTAATGATTTTCTGTTATTTTATCTAATTCTTTATTTTACTATTTCGAAAAGTAATATTTCATATGAAAATACATAACAGCATTTTATACATAATTCCCATGTTGCTAAATTAATTATACAATTTTTTCATAAACTTTTTAATCATATTCTTTATTGAATTGACTTACTTATAAATAGTTATTGATTGATTAGAGAAACGAGTTAAATTCTTGCTCATCTAATTGCTTAAGATCCCTCGTTATCAAAGAAACAAATGATGGGAAAATGGATGTATTAAATTAAATGAAATTGAATTATGCATTAAGAATACTTTAATATCCTACTGATTATTTTATGCCTTAATACGTCACAGGGGTAGATTAACAAAGAGACAAATACTTGGCTAGTTTTTAGGAATCATTGAGGAGAATCGACTTCCCTTTGCAAAATCCCATAAATATTCTCATTAATTAATTAATTCCAATAATAATTTATATATTGTTTAGTAAGGAATACTGTTATTTTCAATCTAGTAATATTGTTAAATAAATTATAAATAAATTAAGAGTGATTTGAAAATGAAATAGAATATAAACCAAGAAAGTAATTAACATTGTATGTTATCCAATATTTATCTATGTTATGATAATCAAATCAATTTCTGCTGGCGATGAATTGAGCAGTGGTGGATAACTTCTCACTGATGTGCTCTTAGAGTCTGTCAACAATTTCTTATTAGGCAGTTCTAGTGGATTAGATGAGTTAGGATACCTTTCAGCAGTTTAGGTTTCATAGATATCTGATTAGACTGCATACCAAGCTTATTATCCAGCAAGTCTTTCTTCGCTGTTTTCTAATTCAAGAGTGTGGAATTCAATCCATGATTAAGCATCTTCAATGGTGTCCTTTTATTCTTAGATTTAGACTTCCAATTAAGCTTTTCTTTCAACCAATCTGGTGTGTTCATTAGCCAAATGAACAGAGAATTCAGCCCAATGAGCAGCTTATCTTTCCTCGACGTCCTTGAATATTAAAATGGATTGAATACTGTCTTGGCAGCCTTTTCTTAGACTAATTATTATCTGATTTCGCTCAATAATTAAGCAATCTTGGTCAAAGCCTTTTGGTTGACTCCGTGGGTGGCCAATTCAGTAAGAGCAGTGATAACTGGCTAGGAGAGTAGATATAGAAGGATACTTGTAACAAGGCAGTGTGGGAAGTGTTATCTGAGAGCTTCTTGTGGAGGACATCGTATTTGGACTTGAGTTAGGCAAATGATGCTCCGAGACTGAGGTGTTAGATGAGTTTAGCAGCTTCATCGATAGCGTCAATAACATCATCAATAGCAGCAACCTTGGCAACGAAGGTTTCATGTTATTGATTTCTGGTGGCTTCCTCTCTAGCATAGGTAGCTTCGTTGTTGGCAATATCTGAGATTGTGACTCTGATATCTTCTTCAGAGACGGCAAGAGCTTCGATAGTGTCATCTCTCAATTAAGTATTTGAAGCAATTTAGTTTTAGTGATACAAGATTTCCTTCTCCAAATCTTCAACGATCTAGTATATTGTAATATTCATACTCTATTGTTGGTTGTGGTGTCAAGTTCAAATGCGTGGTCGTGGTCATTTTAGTCTTAAACGAGTCCAGCACCAACACCATTCAATAACATATTAACTTCATTGGCAGGTGTAGAGGCTTAGAGGTGAGCCTTGATGGCACTCAAGACAACGTGTCCGAATGGGTCAGCGTTGATTTAAGCTAATGTGGTATGGGTATCTATGAACTTTGCAGCAGTCACAGCAAGAACCAAAGCTAAGAGAGCTATTTTTTACATTTTTAATATTAATTTAAAAACGGATCGAGCTCCTCATTTATACTCATTTTCCAATATAATTTTATATTATTAATAATCCTTCTGCCTCAATTCCCCATGTCCTACTCTTCTTAAGATTCTTTCTTATATCCCAATTTCAAATATACAATTAAATCTAACAATTAGACCAACTTTAAAATAATAACATTAATTTTATTTTGTTTTCAAGAATTATTCATTATCTAGCCACTAAGAATCAACCAAAAAGTGCATAATAAATATTTATTAATATTCAAACCTATTTGATTCTCTGATTTTACTCATTTGCTCTCTCTTCATAAGGAGGATAAAACCTATCATAATTGTAATCTGGTCTCCCCTCCATTACTAACTGCTAATTNGATCCATGATTAAGCATCTTCAATGGTGTCCTTTTATTCTTAGATTTAGACTTCCAATTAAGCTTTTCTTTCAACCAATCTGGTGTGTTCATTAGCCAAATGAACAGAGAATTCAGCCCAATGAGCAGCTTATCTTTCCTCGACGTCCTTGAATATTAAAATGGATTGAATACTGTCTTGGCAGCCTTTTCTTAGACTAATTATTATCTGATTTCGCTCAATAATTAAGCAATCTTGGTCAAAGCCTTTTGGTTGACTCCGTGGGTGGCCAATTCAGTAAGAGCAGTGATAACTGGCTAGGAGAGTAGATATAGAAGGATACTTGTAACAAGGCAGTGTGGGAAGTGTTATCTGAGAGCTTCTTGTGGAGGACATCGTATTTGGACTTGAGTTAGGCAAATGATGCTCCGAGACTGAGGTGTTAGATGAGTTTAGCAGCTTCATCGATAGCGTCAATAACATCATCAATAGCAGCAACCTTGGCAACGAAGGTTTCATGTTATTGATTTCTGGTGGCTTCCTCTCTAGCATAGGTAGCTTCGTTGTTGGCAATATCTGAGATTGTGACTCTGATATCTTCTTCAGAGACGGCAAGAGCTTCGATAGTGTCATCTCTCAATTAAGTATTTGAAGCAATTTAGTTTTAGTGATACAAGATTTCCTTCTCCAAATCTTCAACGATCTAGTATATTGTAATATTCATACTCTATTGTTGGTTGTGGTGTCAAGTTCAAATGCGTGGTCGTGGTCATTTTAGTCTTAAACGAGTCCAGCACCAACACCATTCAATAACATATTAACTTCATTGGCAGGTGTAGAGGCTTAGAGGTGAGCCTTGATGGCACTCAAGACAACGTGTCCGAATGGGTCAGCGTTGATTTAAGCTAATGTGGTATGGGTATCTATGAACTTTGCAGCAGTCACAGCAAGAACCAAAGCTAAGAGAGCTATTTTTTACATTTTTAATATTAATTTAAAAACGGATCGAGCTCCTCATTTATACTCATTTTCCAATATAATTTTATATTATTAATAATCCTTCTGCCTCAATTCCCCATGTCCTACTCTTCTTAAGATTCTTTCTTATATCCCAATTTCAAATATACAATTAAATCTAACAATTAGACCAACTTTAAAATAATAACATTAATTTTATTTTGTTTTCAAGAATTATTCATTATCTAGCCACTAAGAATCAACCAAAAAGTGCATAATAAATATTTATTAATATTCAAACCTATTTGATTCTCTGATTTTACTCATTTGCTCTCTCTTCATAAGGAGGATAAAACCTATCATAATTGTAATCTGGTCTCCCCTCCATTACTAACTGCTAATTGATTCTCCCATATGAAGGAGGATATAGTCTATCCTAATAAGGTAAACTTCTGTTGTAGTGGACTCTCTCGTTGAACTCTCTTTACATTCCAATAGGCGGAAATCCTCGATATTCTGGCACATAATAATCAGGAGGAGGAACAGCGCGAGGATCATAAAATGTTCTCTATTCAAATGGAGGTTCAAATCTCTATCTATCATAATCGAAATATGGATATCCTCTTTCGTAGAATGGTTAACCATTTCTCTCATTCAACTATGGAGGAGGTCCATAGTATTCAACAGGAGGTCCTCTTCTAAAATCATTTATTGGAAAAACTCTATATGAACATTGACCTCTCAATTCTCTACCATTATATCTTTTACTTAATATTGGTTCTGGAATTCCTCGCCTGCAATCGCTTAATATTCCAGGAGAAGCCATCCTTCTATATCCTGAAAGAGGCAACCCTAGTTCTTCTGAAGGGATATCATCTCGAAAATCCTAAGGAAAATAACCAAACCCTGGTTCTTAAAAATCTTAAGAAAATCCTCTGAAGCCATGAACATATCCTCTATCAGGTCCCCTTATGTTTGATTGAGATATTCTACTTCCTTAAGGTTGCAGTATGCTTTATGCAAAATTTTAGGGAGTTCCTACCGGCTTATAAATATTTTCATCAGTGTATATTGTATTATAGGGAGCACTCTAAAATTTCTCTTGAGGCACCACTCTTTAAGGATTGACATTAGATCCAGCATTTTGGTCTTGGTTTTAGTTATCCTTTGATCCATTTTCTTATTTTTTCTCTTATGGTAATTATTCAGGTTATTCAGAAGTTCCTTGTATAATCACCTTCTATGGTCTATCTTATTGAACATGCAGATCCTCAACTTTTCCATAATAATCTTAAATTCTACGATTGTCTTCTGGTGGTCGTTAGAGAAATTCTAGGTTTTATCCAGTCGGTTTTATGTATCCTTTTGGAAACTTTTCTATTTCTATTGGTCTGGAAGGAGCATAATACATTGAATAAAATAAAATATATTATAATCAGTTAATTGTTAATGATATTTAATACACTGAATAATAATAAATATTTATTGTGAAATTTGATTCGTACATTTAATCCTTCCGAAAAATCAGAATTGTGCATCCATTTCAAGTGATTACTTTATAACTTTTAAAATAGACAGGCTACGATAAGATTTAGTGTTAAAAAGTAAAACAGTGAAGATAATCAATAAATAATTAATAGTAATTAGAAATGTATTTCCATAATTTTATTTATATATATATTTTGAGTCCAAGTCTATTTTAATACTATAAATTTATCTAATTAACAATTCATAATTAATAAGGTATCTTGTTTCTACTATTATTTATCTGTATCAAGCCTGATTAAAAGTTATTTCTGAATAGGTATATAAATAATTATGAAATAATAACCTAATTATCAAAGCTTTACAAGCATTTTCGATCGTGAGCAATCGGTGACATTTTGGGAACCATTACAACAACCACTTCATGCGGATAGATTGCTCTATAAGGGCAAATTTTTTGAGTTCACTGGAAATGTGTGGGTTGAAGACCATTACGACCTTTATCCTGAAGTGTTATGTAAAAGCTAATATTACATGCAATTGGCCGGAGTGTAGATAAGAAGACTGAAACCAACTGAGACCTATGGACCACACAAATATGGATTAGGCTTCTTAAAAGGGCCGTATAGGTTGTTGTTATATACCGAATCGGTTGAATAACTAAATTAATGGTACTAACTCCATAGAGTTTAGGCATGACTACTTGAAAAGACTTTGTCTATTGCCCAATTTTAACAAACGCCATAAATTAATGGGTAAGATTAAGAATTCGCTTAACTTTTATGATTGCTATAAATGTATAAATGGATAGCAATATTAGGTCAAGATCTTAGAAAAATCTCAAATTACGCAAACAAAATAAGTTATAAGAGAAATTTAAATTTTGCGTCGTTTAAATCATCCTTAAATCTAAAAATTATTAGAAGTTTATGAGGACAGCAATACTGTCTATATTTTATTTGACAAATTCCTAGGCCATTCATTAAAAACCAAACTCCCCGAGTATTGGAAGTAACAAAGACAATTTATTTTAGTTTATCTGAAAAACAAATGGCAGAGGTCTGTTTCAAGTTATTAAATGCATTGGCACATATCCATTCAAAAAATATAATCCACAAAGACATAAGGCCAGAGAACATAATTCAACTCAACTCTTAATTAACTAATCTGGTAATAGCTAATTTTGCAAGTGCGGATTCCAAAGAAAAGGGCAAAAAAAGAAAGGTTTTCAATCCTGGCTTTATGGCTCCAGAACTATTCTAAAATAGAAACTTTGACGATAAAATTGATATATTCTCCTTGGGTGTTATATTCTATGGGATCTTCTATTGCAAATACCCATTTGAAGGTAAAGATTTTAGAGACACTGCATCTTTAAATGAAAAATGTGAAATCAATTTTGAATACCCTAAGAAGTTATCCTCCTCTGCCATTGAATTATTATAGGGAATGTTAAAAAAAGATCCTACCTAAAGATTTAATGCCCAAACTGCGTTAAAACATCATTGGTTTATTAATGCAAGAAGCAAAGAATAAATGAAGGGGAATATGCTCGGGGCACCTTCACTTTCAACAATCCAAGAAAAATCAGAAATAGATATCTCAATGTAAGAGCGTTAATTTAGCAAATAATAATCTAAATTAAGAGCAAAATCTGTGGATACATTATTCATTACAGAAGCAAATGAGATAGAACAAATTCCACTTCATCAAAAAATACAAAAAATGACAATTATTTAATTTAATCCATCAAAATCTAACCATTGATTTACATATTAGTATTTAATTGCTTAAATATAATTTATATAATATATATATCCTTATTGATATTTACGTTTGACTTAACAGAGCATAAATTATGATAGAAAAACAAAAAAATTAATTTAATATTTTAACTATCATATGAGATAAGCTTAATTTTAAGAAGATTAGTTTTTATATTCTAATCTTCTATTAAAATTCAATATTTATACTATTAATTAATTATCTAAAACCTCAACTATTTATTTTATTTAATATTTTTAAACTCAAATTAAATTAGTTTGGTTCCAATATATTAAAGTAATAATTTCGTTGACTATTTTTTGAATCTAAGTTAAATTCTTATTCTTTTAATATTTATTACAAAATATATTCTTTTCTCAATTAAAAATAAATAATCTTCAATTATTTATAAATCCAATCTGAAGATTCTTTTAACACCCTCCCCATGATAATATTAAATCAATATATTATTAACAAAAAAGTTTATTTCCATTAATTCAAAATTAATTGTATGGTTAATAAGAATTAATTAATAATATTAATGAATTAAAATTATTCAATACTTCTGGAATTAACTAAAAAATAAGAACTAACTTTGGCTATCGAAATCGCGGCTATTTGTGTACCATCTGTATTTTTATTAATTTTTACTCTTTATTGTTATTTGAAGTTTCAGCACTTAAATAATGCATAGTTTAAGTTAGTAACGAGAATATTATTTTCAGATCTAATATATGAATCTATAATGAGTGTGATCAGTTTGAGCTACATAATTACATAAAATGGGAGTGATGAAGAAACATCCTTTAGAGATTCATACCCAACCTTTTGCTATATAGAAGCTTATTTATCAAATTTTTCAATTTTAACTAGCACAGCTTGGACATCAATTATATGCCACACATTATACATGCAAGTGTATAGGAACATTTCTAAGATGTATTATTATCAGTACATATTTGTTGGTTATGTGATTCCAACAATAATCAGTTTTATGTAAATTTATGTTTAATATTGTATATAGACCATTTTATGTTGATGGATATGGAGTGACATATCCGATGGAATCAACAAATTGCTTTTATAATATGAGGTTGGAGAGGAGATCTTATGATTTGTACATAACTTTGTGTTATTATTTGCCGATTTGGGTAGCATTTTTATATAACTTGATAATAATAACATTAGTTGTAAGAAGAATATTAAAGCATATAACAGACTTTACAAATAAAACTTAAGTTTTTGCATTGTTTCTTTATCCAACAATATTATTCATTTGCTGGGTGATTGTAATCTTACTTTAGTTATCCTGTAGCCTGGCTTAGTTCAACAATTTAATCCATAATCTATTCTATGGTAATACTTATCGTAGTTTTTCTGCAACATACTTGGTCTGCTGGATGCTCTGTGTTATTGCTTTACTGAGATATTTACAAAGATAAGGATTAATGGATGCAAATTAGAATATTAGGAAGATTTGCCTGAAAGTGACTTTGGTACCCAAACTAGCCAACAATTAACCTAAGTAGTTGATTCATAAAAATTGTGAATACTATTTAATAAATAATAATAAATTATTAAGCGTCATTTCATTTTTTAGTGCGTTTGCAATTTAATATTATAAAAAGAGGAACAAAAATATAAGTAATATAATATTATTGAAATGTCATCATCTTAAGACTTGGTAAAGTGTTCATTTAACCCAGACGACATGGGATAACTATTATATAAAGAGAATTATCATAAGTAAATACTGGTTATTAAGATAGGTGGATAAAAGTATAAGAGTTGATTGCTAAAGATCCAATATTGTAAAATAATGTAGCAGATTATGGATAAAGCAGAGATAAATTATATGAAATCTATTGCAAGAAGGCTTATAAACTACATAAATTACTAAATTATAGTGACGAGATGATTCCAGGTATGGTGAACAGTCAATTCCCAGAAACTGTGGTGACTGTGTTACATTAAACCATGTTTATACCCACAATCAAATATTTGGGAACTGAAAAGTAAATAGAGAAATGGATCCCTCCTTCCTTAAATTATGAGATTGTGGGATGCTATGCTCAAACTGAATTGGGGCATGGATCAGATGTCTAAAGTTTGGAAACTACTGCTGTTTATGATAAAAATACAGAAGAATTCATCCTCAACTCACCAACTATTTCATCAACTAAATGGTGGATTGGAGACTTGGGATTGACAGCCACACATGCTGTAACACATGCTTAATTGTTCATTAATGGAAAACACTATGGAGTCCAAACATTTATTGTCTAAGTCAGAGACACACATACTCATCTACCACTCAAAGGAATTGAAGTTGGAGATGTAGGACCTAAATATGGTTATAATACTAAGGATAATGGTTATCTTAGAATGAACAATGTCAGAATTCCTAGAGAATAAATGCTTATGAGGTATTCCAAAGTAAGCAAAGCTGGTGAATTCATTAAGGCCTAAAATGAAAAGATTGGATATGCCACCATGATGTAAGTAAGAACCTCAATCATTTATAATACCTATGTCTCATTGGCATAAGGATTATCTATTGGAGTCAAGTATTCTCATTTTAGAAGACAATTTAAAGATAAAAATGGCATTGAAAGACCTATTATTGATTATTAAACTCAATAAGATAAATTAATTCCCTTAATAGCAGATTGCTATGCCTAAGGTTTCGGTTGTTTGAGAATTAAAGATATTTTGACAGAAAATCTAAGAAGGATCACTGAAAAAAACGATTTTTCTTTAATGGGAGACTTACATGCACTATTATGTTGTTGTAAGGCTGTTTATACTTGGAATACTCATTTTGGCTTAGATAAAATTAGACAATCTTTAGGTGGACATGGATTTTTATAATCTTCAGGTGTTGTTAGTATTTAAACAGAATTTGCTCCAAGTTGCACATATGAAGGTGAAAATACTGTTCTATTACTATAAACAGGCAGATACCTATTAAAAGCTTGTAATAAAGCATAAAAACACTAACCAATCAATGAGAATGTTGAATATCTCTATAATATTTAATAAACTTTATCTTAAAAAGCTACTTTCACAAGAGCAGAATAATTGTTGTGCCCTGAAATCATTAGAAAATTAATGAGATTGCATGCAGCCTTTTATGTCAATAAAATGATGCTTAAAATGATGGAAAAAGGTATCATTTTAAAATTATTAAATTAGCTGGTGAACATGGACCCAAAGAAGCATGGAACAAACATGTAGGTGTTTCAATAACTGAAGCTTCTATTGCTCATACTTATTATTGGACATTTAAAACATTCTTAGATACATTAATAAAGTAAAATTGTTAATTAATTTTTAGAGTCTAGGATGAGAACATTAGATCAGTCTTATCTAATTTATGTTGCTTGTATGGTTTACAAAGAATCATTGATTGGCCAATAGGATATTTTGAAGGTGGATTTTTGAATGGGGAATAGTTGGAAATCATTTTGAATGCCAAAGAACATATCTTCACTCTTATAAAACCAGATTTACTTGGACTTGTTGAAGTAAGATTAATAATTTATAGATAGTCGTTTAAATTCAATGACAATGCTTTGAGATCAGATCTAGTAGATGCCAAGCCTTATGAAAAGTTACTGCAAAGTGCAAAATTAAGTTCTGTAAACAACGAAGAGTACTAAAATAAATTAAGATCATTAACAAGATAACTTAGAGAGATCCCAAAGCTGTGATTTATAAATAATAAATTAATAAATAAAAATAATGTAGTAGGTGACAACAGAATATGTTAGAAGTTTAAATGGAATAACACCAGAGTATTTGAGTATGTAAATGATAGTTTCTTGTGTCCTGTGAATGCAAACATTTACAATATCCAATTTCTTAAATTTAGAATTAGAGATATGGATTCAGGTTAAACTCTATTTGAGGTTGAACGTGATTAAGATGAGGAGCCCATAGGTAAAACAATAATTAAACATAACAAGAAAACCTCCCACCTGAATATTAAGATGAGGCTAGAAGAATAAAATACCACTTTGGTCCATAATTTTTTGAATTGAAAACAGTGGGAGCACAATTGACCTTCTCGGTCGGTAATCAGCCAGTCAAAAATTTCACAATTATTGAAAGACATTATTTTAGAGATCATTTATTGAGAAGTTATGAATTTTAATTCCCTTTTTGCATTCCAAATTCAACAAATACATGGGAACACATTTACACCATCCCAGAGATTGATGAAGCTATGGTATATAAATTAATCAATCCCTTAATTAGAGATAAGAAATGATTGACAATCCATTTCAAACTAAATCGGACAGTTTTTATTTTGTAGGTGAACATTTAGTTATGCATAACAAGGCTGAGTATGATTACTCTCCTATCGATTGAAATATTAGAATATTTCTTATAAATTAAATCGGATTTCATATTATAAAATTTATTAGATTATGCTAATTTGAATATGTTTAACAACATATTATATAGTTCTTTTAATACCTCAACTGTTCCCTTCGCAGCTCTATAATGGTTAATTTCTAATTAGCAAACAAACTTTCTATTAAATCCTTTTTTTGTTTAATAGACTTGAATTAAGTATTTTTCTGGAATAGGTGTTTAAATTTAAATTAAATTTTTGCTAATAAATTTAAGTGCTTCATTGGAAATATAAGTATTTTAGATCAATATTATTGAAACTCTTGGGTCTCTGGGCGCTAAGGAAATTATTCAATCCTCCAAATTCTATTCCTTCTATCAATAGGCTCAGGCTTAAAACTCGATAAAAATTTCAAAATATTCCAAATCAAATTCATTCTTATTGGCATTTTTTACAATTTTTAAACAACGATAACGTTTAACCCTAACTATAAGATGTATCCAAATTCTAAATTTTACGATTTGTTTTATAGACTAGGATTCTCTTTACAACTTGAAAAATACTAAGTAATTAATGTTCCAGTTAGAAGTATTTGTTATTGAACCCCTAGTCAACTTGTCAGAATATCTATTGAGATTGGAGAATTCAAATAGAATACTTTTTATGATAGAGGCCTAATTAATTAAATAAATCAATTGACAATAGAATTAAATAGCTCTATTTAATGAAAATAATTAAAGGAAAATGATATCTGATATCTCACTATTCTAATTCATTGAAAAACAGTTAAAAATTGCAGGAAGTCTAGGTATTTAATTATTGAAATCTCTAAAAATATCACAAGATAATTTCAATATATCCTAAGTTTAGTGATAGATTATCAATTTTTATTAATAGCATTCCAAAAGAATGAATGATTATTATATTTTTATTATGTTTAAATAGTTATAAAAAAAAAGTGTCAATTTAATTGAAGGGAATCCATCAATATATTATAGTCTAATTAAAAAGCCCACCCTGGACAATAGATTTTATATAGCTGTAAATCCATCTAAAGAATAAGTATCATTGGATGAATTAATCTCATTTACATTGGAGTAATTTGCTTTGTATTGCAAGCACTTAAAAACTAAATTGATAGAGAAAAATATTCAACTTCCCTCTGTTTTTAAACTTGATATAAAAAATGACTCTGTCACTAAAATGAAAATGGAACATCCTATCATGGCATCTCTAAAATAAAGATTAATACTTAATCCTTAATTTACAAATTAATTAAATTTCTTCGAATATCTTAATTTTTCGGGAAATGATGCTTTAGAAGAGGAATTTTTTGATGAGCTGCTGCTAACATTATTGTTTTGGGAGATACTTGAAAGATTGAAATAAAGGTCTGGTTTAGATGTCTATGATATTTTTATCTATCCTAATAGGTGTAATTTTTATATAGTTAAGAATGAAATTTCGCCTTTCTTCTCATCAAATCAGACAAAAATGAGGAATCTCTTACTAAATACTTAAACTATTTTGTATATTGATAATGGCCTTGAAATTAATAAAGAATATGAATTAGACCTATTTGATGTACATCCTCCTGATGAAGTAATTAGCAAAGGAATAATAATTGAGTTAAGAAATATGAATGAAAATGACACACAAATAAACTAATATTAAAATTCAAAGTTCTTCTAATATCGTAATTTAAATTAAGTCACTATCACTCCGACATCATATTATTTTATATTCAGCACATTATGTTAGGTTGAAAAGTAAGATGAATTGAAGCATATAATAACTTTTAATCCTTCACAACAGCCTAAATGTTAAAAATGTAATATTATTATCCATCCAGATGATTTTGATACGTTTTATACAAAAAAAGGGCTATATGACGTATGGGAAAAAGGTTAACAATATTTATAATAGCGTGCTTAATTCATATGCCCAACCTTTTTATTGGTTAAATAACATTTTAAAATCATCAAGGATGAGAAAAACTAAGACCTATACGTCCATTTTTATTAAAATTCTTAAAAAAAAAAAAGTTAAATCCTCAATTAAGAACAAAATTTGGACCCATAAAAACAAAATCCCCAAATTTAAGGTATTACAGAATTTGACTTATTGTATAAAAAACTATAGGTTTGTTCTCCTTATTAACATTACAAGACTAAAGAGACCGATAACTAGATATTATATTCGTTTAATGAATGTCTTGAGAGTGATGAGGAAGCTGATCAAACAAATGGTTGAAAATATCAAGCCACGTTACGTCCATTAATTGAATTTTTATAAAAGTGTTAAATTAATAATTGCTAATCGATATGATTAAAAAATAAAAGGGACAATATAGTTTTAGAATGATTAAGGTAAATTCTTATATGAATAATTCATCAATGTCTGTTTAGGGATGTTTATGAAGCCAATGATCTAACTTAATCTTTGAAAAGTTGGATAACGACATCTATGATTGCATTTTCCTCTATAAACATTTGATTGTATTATTACCTTGTCTTCTGGCTGTTTCAGAAGCATAGAATTCTCTCTTCTCTTCAAGATCGGCTGTGGCACCAGCAACTGCATTCAATGAATCTTTCCATAATTTAAGAGCTTTAGCTTATTAGGCCAAAACAGCTGGGAGTTACTTGATTTATAGGGTAGAATTGATACTGTTTCTAATTTCTCAACAAGGTTGGTTCTTCTTTCGTGTTCAGAGTTCAACCAAGCAACTTCAGCATTTGTGTCTGAAACGTATTTGGCAAGAGCGAAAGCTGCATGAATTTCTTATTCTTATAATGTGGCAAGGGTTGATTCTAATTCATCTTGTAAATCTTATAAGATTTAAAGGACTTATTCTCCTGTGGTTCCGTCTCTCTTAACTTCGGCAAGGGATTGGAATTTCTAGAGGGCATCTTATTAGAAAAGGTGGCTGTATGCAGACAATTTGTCAGCGATTGTTTAGGCTTTCTCAACAAGTTCGACTCCAGCATTATTTGTAAGGAAACCAGCAACATCTTGTTCTAAGAGTGTGACTACTCCGATGGCATCGGCATGATCAGCAAGTGATTTAACAAAGAGTCCATTGGCCCAACATCTTTAATCTTAGAGTTATGCATTTCTTCTTTCAATTTCAGCAAGTCTGGATTCAGCCCATGCCAACCATTAATATCCATCCTTTTAGTATTTATTAAATAATCATACTCTGACTTAGGCTTCAACATCTCCTCTGACTGCACCGAGAGCTTCCCATTATTATTTATTGAGGGAAGCAACATTTGTCAAATCACCAATGACTTAAGCAAAGATTTCTAAGAAGAGATAATGTTATTTTGTTACCTTCATCTGTGTTATTCTTTTTGTCTGCGGCAGCTTAAACTTAAACATTCTCTGTCTTGAGGTCTCTTAAGAGATTGTAAACAGATTCGACAGCATCATTTCCTCTGGTACCAGCTTGAAGAAGCACAGCAAATTTATTTGTGTCGATAGCAAATACAGCTGACAATAAGCAAATTGCGATGATTGCTCTCATAATTTAATTTAATTATCTAAAAAACGGGTTTCATAATTTGGTTTATAATCCTTCATTTTATACTTAAATTTCATTTTGTTAAATATTCCTCCTCGAAATTACATTAAATCATTATCTACTCACAATTTCAATCTCTCTCACAGTGATATTTTAGGCTATCATCTGTTCGTTCTATCTATTGTATGATAAATCCAAAAAAGATTATTACTATCAAATATTTTATATATATATATTGATAAATTCTTATTTTTCTTTAATAATGAAGCAATAATCTTAAAATTCATGTTCCTAAGTATCTCCAATCAAAAAATGAATTGTTAATTTTGACAAAAGTAATTTTTTCTTTAAAGTAATCTATTTTAGTTAATTTTGATTCTTAATAATTAGCATTTAATCAAATCATTTAACTGTAAAAGGATAAGATCTAATAATCCAATCTAATGTAAATTACATCAACATCTACAAAGATTATACAATCTAAATACAACGAAATTTATTATAAATTATCATGGTCCTGAATTTCCAAATTATTAAAATTACAATTGATTATTAAGTTCATTGATTAATCTATTTTCAATGTCACCTTATCAAAATTAGTTTGCAGGAATCGATAATAATTTATTTATGATAATTGAATAAAGCAAAAGGTAAGAGGTTACGATCAGATGAAATGAGAATAGCATTTATAATTTTCATAAAAAGATTATTTAAATTGAATAGAAAGACTTTGAATGTCATTTAATTTCAATCGAAATAATTTTATTAAAGTATTACATGAATTTAGAGGATTTAAACTATTTGACATATGGATCAGTTATTTCGATATCTCATGTATAGGATGATCATTCTTTCATAACAGCTGATGGTTTTGTGAAGCGGGCTGTTTGTTTAAAGAACTTTGTACAAATATAGCATATATATATACAAGCATCACATAGATGTCGTAGATGTGAAATAATTAGGTAAAATGAAAAGCAGGCCTTATTACCACACTCTGTTCTAAATCTTTCCAAAATTTACAAACACTACAAAGCAAGAAATCTTAAAGGAACTAATTGGAGAAGAGTAAGAAGAGGAGGCTTAACCAGCAGTTCAAAACATTTTAGAAAGCATTTAGAAACATTAGAAAGTGGATGAAAAGACTATTATGTCGAAAGAGCAGGTCTAAATGTTTTCCCAGAAATTACTATAAGAGTTTAAGTACAATCTTGACACATTTGAAAAAGTAAAACATATGTAGTAATAATATAGTCAAAAGCACATAAAGTGTCATATAAGTCTCATATTTAACTATTGCATTTGGCATCATCAAAGTTTTTAGCTTGTCATCAAAAGGAGGCTAGAGTAGAGACTTCAAATTATAAAATTACTTTAGATGAATTGCCTAGTGATTCGTCATTATTTAAGATATTGCCAGCCTATAAATATTAGAAGGAAGGGGAGTAGGTTATTTATGCCAGTGATATTGTTTATATTGTAAGAGCTACATCCTTTATGAATAAATTGACATTTCTGCATGCATCTTAAGAAATGGGAAATTATGGAAAGAGTAGGAAATAGAAAAAAAGTGATGAAGACTTGTAAATATACAAAATGGAGAAGGATATAATAAAGAGAGAAGTTAATGCAGCATTAGATGAAGAAAATTAAACTTAGTGGAGAATTTCAGTTTATTCGGATTATGTTTCTGAAACATCTGGATATTTGAAATGTGGTGATGTGATTTGGTTACATCATTCTGAAACTAATACCACTATTGCAGCAACAAGAAAGGGTAAGCCTGTGGATTAGAAGAACTTTCAATCATTTAATTTAGTTGACTGGTTAAAAGTAGAAAATGTGGAATTGAATGTATTGAGTGGTTCAACGAAAGAGAGTTACGATGAATATACAGGAGATACACATTCAATGTGGATTATTGAATCAGAAATATATAAAGAAGGAGGCATTGTAGTATTTGATAAGAAATATAGATTCAAACATTTTACATCAGGATTGTATCTATCAGGCATTAAAGATAAATTTACATTAGATAAATAAAGAATTCCATCAACCTTATTTTATTTTAGCCAATTAAAGAATTCTCAAGTCAGAGAAAAATCTGTTATGAGAGGTAGTTATGTTTATATTTGCCATGATAAAGCAATCCCTTCAAATACGAATAATAATTTGAATGATGAAAATAGTTATTGGGTTGATATTCAATATGGAAAAAATCAAAGATACGTTCCTATTCTTCATTAAGAATAACACAAAACAGACTAAAGTGTTTTCAAATTGTATGCCAGTAGTAGTAATGACGTTTGGGAAATTTCTTTTGTTTTGAGTTGTGCTAAAACACTAACAAATTATCTTGATGATTTATAAAAATTAAAATGGGAAAATGATGCTTAGGATAAGGAAGTCCTGAAAGATCATTTATTAAAAATACAAACAACTAAGTAATGCATAGAAGATATAAATGATTTTTGTAATAATAGATTATATAACTCAACTCCCGAGTAGAAATATGGAACAATCAATCCATTTAGACAAAAGTTATTAAAGGAATAATATTATATTGACTTATTAGTCAAAATATTAGTTTAACAGCTAAAACCTGAAGATCTTGTTATTTGGAGTAGAAGATTTATGATTATTTAAATGCAAGACATATAATAGTAATAAGAAAAAATGAGTAACACAGAATAAACAAACAAAAAACAGGGGTTGAAAGATCATGAAGTATTGGCTTATATCGCATTTAAAATCACACTAAACCAAACCATATATACATTATTGACATCGATTTGTAAATAAAATCCTGAAAATGAGTTGTATACCTTTGATTTAATTGGACACTTTTTAGAACATTGCAGATATATTCCTGAGGCTATAAAGTGTATGATTTCAATTATTGGAAACAATCCAGAATTGCTCCAACAATTATCATTGAATATGAAGCTTGATTATATTCCAAAGGAATAGGAATTTTTTGAGCCAGAAGAAGAAAAAATGTAACTTCATCATAATAAAATCTAAAATAATTTTCTCATTTTCTTTTTAAATCTTTTAGAAACAGATGAACAAGCTCACAAAGCAGATTTTCTAACTTTCTTAAGAGAAATGTGTATTTACAATAATTAAGGTATCAATTCAAATTAAGAGGCTATTTATAAATTGCTCAAGAAGCATAATCATAAAAAGATACAATTAATAAAAGATCGTGAAGATCCAGACAAAATATCCTTGAAAGATGGCAAACTAGTTATCCCATTTAAATTATAGAATGATCCTAAAGAAATGTACTTCATAAATGAGCAATTGCAATTTTATGCTGATGTTTCTTATGGGAGGAACTATTTATGGAAATAAGAGTTGGAATAATACTTTAGTAAAGACTTTTTATTTTAGAATATCTGGTAAGAGGATGGCAATCGAATTTATGCAGTGCTTTAAGCAGCTTTGTGTAAAATTGCTATGAGTCTTTATATTGATCATGATCCACTCAATAAAGTTTAATTGCCTAAATACTGTAACCTTTTTAAAAGTATTGACAAGGCAAATGAAGCTCAACATATGGGGTTGTATACTTCTTTAATTGAAGATCTATTCAAATATTTATAAGATAATAAACAACAAATAGTATTGGCACTTGATACTAAAGACAGTGGAGATAACAATAAAGATTATGATATGTTAGATGCAAATGATGAAAAGAGTTTATTGATTAATGAGTTGCTTTACAATTCTTGTTAGATGATG